TCCGATAAGTACTTAGCCTCACCGCCCGATGGCGCCACTCTCGCAAAAGAAATATTCTGTCACGTGGTACAACCATCTCGATGGTTACTGTCAAGATTTCAGCCGGATCGGAGTTGTAGTTTATTTTTGAGAGCGTGTGAAAGCAAGTGTGTCCGTTGATTTTTGAAAAATGGAAAAAGAGCAGTATCGGTCGGTGATTTGATTCTTGTTTTTGGAAGGGAAATCACGCAGCGAAATCAAAAAGCGCTTGGATGCTATGTACGGTGACTCTTCTCCTTCGATGGCGACCGTTAAAAATTGGTTTAACGAGTTTCAACGTGGTCGCACGTCGATTTTTCAAGAGCCACGTCCAGGTGCTCCGAAAACGGCTACCACGGAGGATAACGTGACAAAAATTCACGATCTCGTATTGGCAGATCAACGATTGGAGGTGCGCGAGATAGCTAAGATCGTAGGCATCTCAAAAGACCGCGTGGGTCATATCCTGCATGAAATTTTGGGCATGAGAAAGCTGTCGGCGCGATGGGTGCCGCGTTTGCTCACTCCGAACAACAAGCGCAACCGTGAGACAACTTCAGAGCAATGTCTGACGCTGTTTAAGTGCAATCCGAAGGAGTTTCTGCATCGTTTCGTGACAGTCGACGAAACATGGATCCACTGGTATACACCAGAGACCAAGGAACAGTCGAAACAGCGGACTTTACCCGGCGAAAGTGCTCCGAAGAAGGCGAAGACTGCCCCAACCCGAACCCATCGGCCGGAAAGGTGATGGCCACCGTTTTCTGGGATTCACAAGGTGTGATCTACATCAACTACCTGGAGAGGGGCAAAACGGTCATAGGGCTGTACTATGCCGAATTATTGGGCCGATTCGACGTCGAATTGCAGAAAAAACGGCCCCATTTGGCGAAGAAAAAAGTGCTCTTCCACCATGACAACGCACCGGCTCACACCTCCGCCGTCGCCATGGCCAAATTGGTCGAATTAGGCTACGAACTGCTGCCTCGTCCACCGTATTCCCCAGATTAAGCCCCATGCGACTTCTTTTTGTTTCCAAACTTGAAAAAGTCACTTGCCGGGCAGAAATTTGAGTCGAATGAGGAGGTAATCGCTGCCACGGAAGCCTACTTTTCAGACCTCGAGGAAACGTATTTTTCAGATGGGTTAAAGATGTTGGAGCATCGCTGGGCTAAGTGCATCGAACTAAAAGGACACTATGTTGAAAAATAAAACGCCACATTTCCAAAATTTTAGTTTTTCTTTTGTAGGCTAAGTACTTATCGGACCACCCTCGTAGTGACGAGATTCGTATATCAGTTCAACATCAAGACTTGTGCCTTTTACCATGTCGCAGCTCGTTACACATTTGCGGATTACGTAGCAACAATAACACCTTGTTAACGAATACTGATTTTGTTAATAATGCCATTTGTCACATGTTTGAAGAAATTAGCTATGAGCTGAATGCTATAGAAATAGATAAATGTAAGAACGTTGGTCTCACAACCGTTATGAAGAACTGGTTATCTCTCACTTAAAGTCAATCCTTGATTGCCGAAAATGCCGGATGGATAAATACCTTAGAACAAAAGGACCGTAAAATAACTAATACGAATGCGACTTTGACATTTTGATTCCTCTGAGCTTCATATTTGGATTGGCTGAGGGCTATCGTAAAGTGCTAGTGAATATGAAACATGAATTAATTCTCATAAGATCGAGTACTGATTTAAATGCAGTTTATCAAACGAAGAAAACCGTGGGCGAGTTGAAGCTTACGAAGAATTCAAGATTAATGTAACATGCCTCGAATGGCTTATGCCCTATGTGACTGCATCGAATGCAGAGAAAATACGTCTACTCGACTTTCTAAAGCGAACGAAGTATTTTAATGAGTTTTCGTAGTTGGGAACTGTACGAATATCCAGCTCTGCCTGCAAACACAATTCACGTCTGGACAGTTAAAACGACAAATCATTTGGAGAAATCACGCTACATCATCTTAGCCTTCCAAACCATTCGAAAAAATGAATCAAACTCTAAGACTAGTATATTTGATCATTGTAACATTAGAAATGTCAAACTGTACCTCAACTCTCAGTGCTATCCATATGGTAATCTCAACATTGATTTCAGTAAAAACCAATAGGCAATGTTGTACGATATGTATGCCAATTTTTAAAACGTATACTACGGTAATGATGCCGAAGCGATGCTCAAAAAACTCGAATATAAAAATTACATGCCACTCGTAGTGATTGACTGTTCGAAACAAAACGAATCATTAAAGACTGCTCCAGTAGATGTGCGCTTGGAGTTCAAAATCAGAGAAAATGTTCCCAAAGGACTGTGTATTGTCTTATTCTACACGATCGCATCGTTCAATAAAATCCGATAAATGGAGATGTGAAGAAACTTATTTAGGAGAGGGGGGAAGGGTATTAAAAAATTGACTCTTTCCTTAAGCAGCTCAGTAGTAGCTTTCTATCGCAATGGAGTACGTAGAAGATATGCAAGGCTTCATGATGCCTGGCAAAACTTATTCTGTGAAAGAGTTAGCAATACTTCCACTTAACTACAACGAAGAACCGCTCGTACGCTTGTTCAAACCTCCCTTTCCATGGCGAAGACTAACGGAAAAATATAAGCGAGAAAATCTCTGGTTAGAACTCTACTATCATGAATTAACATGTAACTCTGGCTATTATAAATACGAAGAGCATAAATTCATCATCACAGATACACTCAAGGATGCCACAAAAATTTTCGAATCCGGAGAGTTGAAAAAAGAGTGGTTAGAACGATATGGCCTCAAAGTTTTCGATTTGAATGATTGGGGCTATTCACCTTTCGAAAAATTAAAATCAGTTACCGTGTAACTGATGCCCTAATCATAACGGCAAATACGTAACGACATGTGCACATCAAAACGTTAAATTAATGAAAAAGTTTTATATCGATGGCTGTTGTATGGATTGGGAAGAGAGCGGTGAAGTCGTTGAAGGATTTCTATAGTGATTTTGCTTTTCAAGTAAATACTTTGTAGAATAATATGTATTTTTTAAGAACATGTAGAATAAGATATATTTTTTATAAATAAAAAATTTTTGTTTCAATTGATTCAAAAAAATATTCTTTTATTTTTTTATTAAACCATCCAAAAAAACCGAAATTCTTCGCTGACTCTGACGATGACGGCAGCAGAAGCAACCGCAGCAGCAGCAGCAGCAGCAGCAGCAGCAGCAGCAGCAGTTCATAATTTTTATAATAAATTTTGTATTTTTTTATCAACAAAAAAAATTTATACAACATAGAATTTAGATGAAAAAAAAATGTTTATTTATTAGTTGAGGTGGTGTACAATGATGATATGTATACATATGATTATTAGTTCTTCTTTTCGTTATTGAACTGCTGACAGCCTTTTTGTTCAGGAAAATTTTTAGTATTGCTCGAAAATTTGGAAATACTTTGTTTCCATGTCGATGATTCTTTGTTCTTCTTTTCGTCCGGGTCTTCCTAGTATACACAATACGGTATTGCCCGTAGTAACAATGGTAGTAGCTCTAGCGGTAGAGCATCGGCCTGCGGATCCGCAGGACGCGCGTTCGATCCCCCGATCCGTCCGTCCGTTTTTTTTCCGATAAATCTAAAAATTTAACACACACACACATACACAATAAAAAAAATCAAAACGCGTAACACAGAACGCACGCGCTCATCGAGAATACATCAAATCGCGAGGAGAGAAGGAGGAGGGAGGGGGAAGTGCAGAGAACGCGCGTCAGAGCACATCAGCACAGTATGGGACAGGGGGGAATGCGTAGAACGCACGGGCATCACAGTGTAGGAGAGGGGAGAGTGCGTAGAACGCACAGCATAATACAGCAGAGCAGGGGGGGGAGAACGCACGCCATCAGATTAACTCAGTAGAGGAGGGAGGAGTGCGTAGAACACACCGGTATAACTCAGTAGGAGGAGGGGGGAGGTGAGTCGACAATGCACGGGCGGCTCAGTAAGGGGGTCGGGAGGTGAAGTGACAGTGCTGAGTTGAACATGCACACACCTCAACTCACACGCTTCAACTCAATGAGCTGATACCCCTCTGAGTTAAGGCCCCTCTGGCTTACTTACTGAGTTCAAGGAGGTGAAATTGTCAACTTAGTTTTCTGTCGGAAGTCATACCAGTATTTTTAGCTTATGTGTTATATTTACCAAATTATATTTTAATGTTAGTGATGCCTCAGAGCTGTAGTTATTGTCAATTGTGAAAACCATGAATTCCGTTTTAGTGCTTAAGAAGATAAAATCAGTGTGTGATATCCACATCTGAAGCTTATTTAGAGTATCTTGCAATATTTGTTAGGTAATGGACTAACTTTTTCTGAAATATTATTTATTCTCTCTTTGATTTTTACGTCACGCTTATTGCTTATCTGTTGTTGATATTCTACTAATCCTCGCTTGCTCTAAGAACTCGTAATCAGATTTTAAAGGTCTTTCGCTTCATTTTGAGCCTTCTGTACTAATTTTCAGCCGTTTTTTCATTTAAACGTATGCACAACAGCACTAAGCGTATAAACAGCAGATTGCAACAGTAATTAGCTTCGCAATGAACAACCATGAATATTCTTGACGAAGTTACTAATAACTATGTATATAACTTTACTGTTACACAGTATTATTATTTTTAGTTATAAATTACTTTTCGTAAGACATGAATAATAAAAAGCAAAATTGTTCCAAAAATTTTAATTGTTATTTTATAAAAAGTAATTTAAAATATAATAAATGAGAAGAATGGATGTCTCGGTTACAAAACGATTTTCGACTACACCACAAATCTAATTGCATTAGTGATATTAATATTGTTAGAAAAGTGATTCTAACTACACTGTTTTATGAATTAACTCTACAATGCTCCATTTGTGAATTTTTTTTATTGATAATATAAATATATGTTTTGTATTAATCCCAATTTCGTTGATTGAAACTTTCAGGAAAAATATTTTCAATTTTATCTGTCTGCGATAATGCTGTTCCTTTGGCAAGTGGTGTTATGTACACTCAACTTTATCAAGCTACGATTAGTACGAGACCAAATAGCATATTCTGGCTCACGTTTAGCACACAATGCGGTGTTTTCTTTCTTATAATGTAAGTACTTAATTAATGAAATTAACTCTGAAATATAGAAGAATATTTCATATATATATACTCTAGGGGAGTACCGTCTACTCGCTTCGTTTGTTAACCCCCCGTTTTTATCCCTATTCGTATTTCTATGGAGTTATATTTTTTTTAATCTGGTGATTTTAGGTATATTTTTAGATAAATAGTATATTTTTAGTAATATAGTAAATATTAGGTGTCATATCGTAGATATTTGGTGGTATGGTGAATTCTTAAATTATAGCATGAAGTTAATAAATGATTTTTTGTTAAAAAAAATGAGAATTAAAATTAAAACATAGTGAATTGTACTGAATTACTAGGACTGTCTGAAAAGTTTCCGACCTCAACCTGAAGATGGCAACACTTATGTACATAAGTTAAAAAATATATTTAAGCATGTTTTGAGAGATCCCAATAAAAATTTCAGCCATTTTAGACGCTTAGTTTTTATTTGATATAATCGTTTAACTGAGAGGTTGTGGAGATTTTCTTGAATATAGAAAAACTTAAGTATTGAGCTGTCATTAAATATTTGTTTTTAAAAGTGAATACGCAAATTAAAGAGGAGGTAGACACTCTTTACGGAGATTCTGCTTTATCATTTCCGACCGTAAAATGTTGAGCAGCAGAGTTTAAACGTGGCCGTATCAGCTTGACTGATGATGAGCGTGCAGGGCGACCAAAAACTGCAGCAGCCAACAATAAAAAAGCCATCGAGAAAGTTTATCAAATTGTACTGAACGATCGTCGAATTAAGGTTAGAGAGATAGAGGAAGTAACTGGAATATTAAAAGAACGCATTTGTCATATACTGACTGAAGAATTGGGTATGCGTAAGCTATTCACACGTTGGGTGCCGCGTTTGCTCACTTTGGATCAAAAACTCATTCGGATGAACATTTCAAAACCTTATTGACGCGGTTAAGCTAAACCAGTAGGATTTTTTCCGCCGATTCATAATTGTAGATGAAATTTGTATTCATCACTACACTCCGGAAACGCAAAAAAGGTCAAGACAGTGGATTGCAAAGGGTAAATCTGCTCCGAAAACGGCAAAGACGGTTTCATTGTCCGGAAAAGTTGTGATGATGCGTCATCACACGAAAAATTATACACTACCGGCACGATGCGGCAAAACAGCCACGACCGCATACACCCACCCACGCACTCCCGGATCTCGCGAACTATGACCTCTAGAAGCCTCCCTGACCGATTCGCACGACCCTTACGCTCGCGTACAACCCCTCGCGCACTCACGACCCGATCCGACCCTCCCCCGGGAAGCTAGAAGCCCCTAAAGTTTCCAGCTGCGATCAGCTGATAGCAAGCCCCCGTTAGTTAAGGTAGGCCTAGCTAGACTAGAAGTAGGAGCGACCGAGCGCGTGAGAGCAAGCGAGACCACCGATGCTAGACCGATCGGAAGCGAGCGAGGGGAATCGGTAAGACCAACGAGCGGTGGATAGAAGAGGATAGACAAGCGACGCTAGTTGACCGGCCAATCGTTATCAGCTTAGGGGTGGTCGGACTAATGAGTGAAAACCGACGCTATCTTCGCGACCAGTAGGCAAATTAGGAGCGAAGGACCGACCAATAAACAAATTGCGCGGGCAAAGAACATTAATATAGACGGCGCTGAGACCCGGCTTAGCAACAAGCCAGCCAATCGACAATAACTAAGGAGAAGTAAGCTAGGAGAAGCGGCGCGTCACCGAAAAACGGCGCGCCAGTGACCGTTAAGCCTCGACGGTGAGTAGTCCCGCCGAGCCTCGCTGTTGCGCGGTACCCAAGCAGAGAAGATAGATAAAGCAGAGAAAAGTGAGAGTAGTAGAGGAAATAGTGAAAGCAGCGAGTATAGAAAGAAGATAGTGAGAAAGTGAGAGTAGTAGAGGAAATAGTGAAAGCAGCGAGTATAGAAAGAAGATAGTGAGAAAAGTGAAAGTAGCGAATACAGAGAGAAAATAGTAATAGCGAATACAGAAAGAAGATAGTGAGAGCAGTGAGTACAGAGAAAACGGTGAGAGTAGTGAGAAAAATAGCGATAGAAAAATAGAAGCAACGACAGCACCAATAACGGAGGCGCATACGACAATAGTAGCGGCCGCTACAGCGGCCTTGGCGGCCGTAGCCGCGATAGTAATTGCCCGAAAAACTAACAGGAGTAAGTACCTTCTTTTCTACTACTGATTTTCTTTGTATGCCCGATGATCGCGAGATTGCCGCGCATTGCCGACCGCCGCGTTTCGGGAGTGCCGTACGACCTTCGCGCGTTCGATATAATAACATTCGCGCTCATTCATTGCTGACCTCCGAAAATCTTTTATAGAGCCGTTGTATTATCATTGTCCGCAAGACGAAGTTGCCGCGTAATTACCGAACGGGAGTGCCGCATGACCTTCGCGCGCATTACGCCTTGTGATCGAACATGTTTGCCGTTGTCTCCGAGCTTTTCTTTGTCACGTCGTTTCTTTGTCCCGCATCTAAAATTGTCGCATGATCGCCGAATGTCCGCGCGCGGGTATGCCGTATGACCTTCGCGCGCCCGTTGCCGTTGCTGCGCATGTTTTTGCCACCGACCTTCCGAGCGTCGTTTTGAGTGTCGCCGTACTGTTGTCATCCGAGAAACGAGTTTTCCTTAGAGTGCGCGTCTATGAATTCCTTTCCCGAGTCGACCTAAACATTACACGAGTCGTGCTAGACCTTCGTTCGACCGGCAAAATTCGAATACATTGTCGCCTTTATTTTGCTCGCGATCGTTGCTACAAAGTACCGTCAACACCGCGAACAGTAGCTAACCTTCGTGCGACCGATCGAATTCCTTCACTTATTTGCCTTGAACGAACTGGAATTTTCGCCGCGAGTAAACAGACCGACGTCGTGTAATCGTATCCGAAGTCCGAAGTATCCAACTGAATTATTGTCTGCCTAGGCCGACTTCGCGTCGTAGTACGCCACTCGCGTCCTCCAGTAACCTAGACCAGGCTGACCATCGCGAGGGATAGATCACTGGGGTTGACCTGGAAGTTTTCTTTTGCCGAATAAACCTGAATTATTTTAAGTCTGACTTGTTATTGACTGCACCCACTTGATCGCCTCATCCCCCGTAGCTTTCGCGATCGGTCTGAGATCGGTAAGCGCGTGCGCGACTGCCCTGATTATCACCTAGCCGGTAGCCGCCATCGCGGCCACCACGCCACCAGTCCACGGAAGGAGCTATCCCCTCAACCACTAGTCCGTCAGTCGGGGCGCCCCTACGACGCCCCCCTCGATGTACCCGCTTCTGGGTTAAGAGCCGCCATGCCCCGAACTTCTTCTAGCTAGCCGAACGAGCCGCAGCCGTGGGTGGCCTTGTAAACCACCCGTTGCCCCCCTTTCCCCTTTTCGCTCGATACGCTTTAGACTCGAACGAATTCGTCGCCTAGGACTTCGCGCTCCCGCTTCATTCTTCACAGGTGATAGCCGGCCACGCGCGCAAAGAACACCGACGGCGACGAGGAGGGAGGCAACGGGGAAACCACCCGACCTCACAGCGACCAGCAGGACTTTGCCGAGAACCAGCCAACGTTGCAGCGCTACCTGCTCTCCTAACGCGAGAGCACGGTAGCTGGCGCCCAACGAAATAAAAAAATAAAGCTGCATACGTTGTCTCGGCTGACTGCGCGCCGCTGGCGACAGTGCGAGACCGGAAAAATACCCGTCTATTATTTTTCCCCTCCCTCTCCCCCGTCGCAAAGTGATGGCGACTATATTTTGGGATAGTCATGAAATTATGTTGATTGATTATATCCAAAAAGGTAAAACAATAACAGGAGAGTATTACGCATTATTGCATGTTGAGGTCCCTGGCCCCTAGTGGCTTTTTCCTGTTTCCTAACCCTAAAGTTTCACTTACAGGAGAGAGATTTTCATCTGACGAGGAGGCTATTGCATAAGCAAACGCCTATTTTGAGGAGAATGACGATAACTATTATTTAGAAGGGTTAAAGAAGTTACAGCATCATTTAAATAAGTGTATCGACTAAAAAGGATGCTAGTGGAAAATGAAAATGATTTTAGAGAAAAAATGTGTTGTTTCTTAGTTAGGTCGGATACTTTTTAGATAACCTTTGTATTTCGGGTACCATAAACAATTAAAATATTCAATTATTGAATATTTTAGTTCAAATTATTGACTGGAAAATGGTTTGTTCATACTATGTTATGGATCAGTTAACGTACAATCATGTACGTATATTAAATTAACAACTTTGGGTCAAATCAATCTAAATCTTCAAGACGAAAAAATCAAAAATTATCTATCCATATATTATTCTGTAATATATCTTGATAGATATTCTAACTATTAAATAAAGACTTTCAGGTACTCTCGACCAATACTTCATTTAAGATTTAAAGAAGAAATAAAAATCAAAATTTTATACTAAAAAGTGCAAAACTATAGGCAATGTATAGGCAAAAAAAGGCAACAAAAAGCAAAACATAGGCCAATAATAGGCAAAAAAGGCAATAACAGACACGCCTGAGAATGTAAGGCCTAAATTTTCCTTCATCAAGTCTCCTCTCGCCTCCTCACAACTCTTCATTTCAAGAATTAGCTCTTTAAATAGCGTGCAAATTCTGTCAAGTTTAATGTTATTATGTAGGTAGCTGTCTCCTCACGCCTTCTCACGGTTTTTACCTCCTTACTCCTCCTCGTGCCTCCTCACGCCTCCTTACATCATTTTACTATAACTATAACGTTAGTCTCATAACCACCTTGATAGCTTAACATAGAGATGTGTATGTATGTATATCCGGGTGCGGACCATTTTCGACTTTACGTCAGAAATGGTCTATTTTCAGATCACTGAAAAGATGTACATATTGCAACGGTAGTCAATTCGATAATTTGAACGACTAAGAGAGAGAGAGAGAGAGAGAGGGCGCGCGAGAGTTTAAAAGTTTCAATTAAGCCTCAGCTGCTTTCGTGAAAGTACCACCGAATA